CCAATGTCACCCATGGGTCACCGTGACGGCCTTCGACCTGGCCCTGGATCTGGACTCAATGGTGGTGCAGTTTCTACGCCTAACCTGCATAGCAACATTGCTCCCCCTTTGCCACCAATCAACCCTCGGCGCAAGAACACAGGAGCCACGCTCGCTGAAGGTACCATGAGCGCTCACCGCCGCCCTATGAGCCCCAGTATCGCAAACGAACAACGTGGTGGCTTTCGAAGTGATGATGAAGATGGCGCAGGGATGAACCGTCAGAGATTGCGCAAAGCCACAAGCGAAGCAAACGGTATGAACGCACGAGCAAGATCAATGCATCAAGCTCCTCCTCCGCCTTTGGCTGCACCACCTCTGCCTCCTAGCATGAGCAGCAATGCAGTTCCCGGAGGGATGATTTAACAGTGCAGACGATGACTGTTTTCCCTATATTTCTTTCAATTCTCTTAATTCCCCTTTTGCCGACAGCATGAGACTCATGACCAAGATACCTCACGGCCCTTTTCATTTCATAAACTTAATCTCAGTGTCCTGAATCATCGAGCGGAGCCTTCGATGATAGGACCCCAACATTCGTGTGTATTTGCGGGGTGAAGGATTTGTCACTCCTTGTATGTTTTCTTTTGGGGATAATTCGGTCATTGACGGATGGATGGTTGGAATCTAGTATCAGGTGTAAATTGACCCTGCTAGCAAGAGATCGAGCAGGTCCTTGATTCGAATAGCTGGCGTCAGGCAAGGTGTGCAAGGAAATGATATGTCAGGAAGCAGAATGGAACGGAACAAGCGGGCATGCATTCAATAAGGCTGGGGAGGTGTTTGGTTTTGTACGTATAGGATTGGAAGCCGACGGCCAAAAGAACGTAGTGAGGATACTACGTCAGTTTATAAAATGTTGACCCCATGGAGAGTTTTCGCCATATCAAAGCAAAGGATGGTCATGGTCAAGGAATGGGAATAGGCACCAGGCCTGTAGTCAAACATTGTAGATGAGATAAATAACGATGGTCACCCATAATGCTCAGTCTACCTAAGTGCCCATGCCGACATATCCAAAACATAAACAGCCTCCCCCCGATTCTACTGACCTCAGTGGTAAGCAACTCAGGGCATAAGTCACAAGTCACTATCGATACTTGATCAACAGAGAGAACATCGGACTGTAGATCATCGCAAGCAATAGCATCATGACTAAGATAGAACAGTCTCACAACGTCATGAACTTGAGCTTCATTCTGAATTACCTTATGCAATATTCTGATTTTATGTGTTAGCTCTAGGGTAGGCCAGCACCCCGCCTTGAACTTTTGTGTTTCCCAAGCAGCCATTGGCACACTGCTGATGTGAAGGGGGTTGAGGCTGTCAACCTCCATTTTCCCTTACAATCAAGGCTGTTGTCGTGTTTTCTGCAATTCTTGTTGGTTGCGACGTGGCAATGTGGTTCTAACTTGTGGGCATTGCATTTCCAAGCCACAGAGAAGGGCCGACGTGAGGTTTACTATATTATGTAACGAAGGGAAATTTCCGGGGACAGTCGAGTTGTAGATCGGGCGAGTCCGGGCTATGGCACAGAATCTGGAGGTCGTTTTTTTTTTTTTTTTTCTGAAACAAGGGTCCAATGGAGCGTTTAGCGGTGGCAAGTAAACCAAGGATTGTCAATATACGTTCATGATTGGAGCGTTTCATTTCACGATGGACTCATCAATTCGAATCGCAGGACTAAGCGCCGGGCGAAAAGACGCCGAAAGTGGGTTGATAAAACTTGGTATTGATTCTTGTCTCTGATTCTCAAAAAGTCAAGGCCCAAAAAAGAGACCGCGGGTATCGATTATTGTTACAGCTGAAAATCCATAGCGATTCATTCCCCGTTAACCCCGAGACAAGTCCAAAACGTAAAAGCATAGAGTAATAGAACGCCCAAAACCCGACGTCATATCTTTCCCGTGGCGCCTTCGCATAAACACCCCCAAAGAGGCTGAAAGCAAAGCTTTTGCTGCTGGAGAAAGAAGATAATTGCTTGAAGAAACCAGTCGCTGAGGTATCAATCAAGAACAAGTGAAATGGTGAAAATGACGACCAGGTCATAGGTGTGAATGGAGAGGAGGCAGTTTCCGAGCAGAATAGAAGCGCCGCCGTTGAAGTCGTCAAAAGGTCGTGTCTCGTACGAGCGAGGGTATCCAGACTCTCATCTCGCCATGCTGTAGCCCTTTGTCATGATACAGGGCCAAGCGTGTGTTGTGAGAGAAGAGGAGGAGAATGCCGTCGAGACGTGTCTGTGGATGAATGCTTTAGCACAGAGGGCAGTTGTTGCATTGCTTGTGGCCGCAAGCGGTGCAGGTGGTGCTGATGACAATCATGCCTCCACACTGGCAGCAGTACTCGTAGGCAGGCATGTTGGTGATGGGGGTTTGTGGTGTTGAAGTGTTGAAGTGGTGTTGTTGAAGTTGAAGTAGTCTTTGGATGGTAGAGTCTGGTGATTGTTGATGAAGAAGAGGGAGATAGGTCAGCTTGGGAACGGAGGGAAGAGGAGGGATATAAATAGTTGAGGAGGAGAGGGAAAGAGAGTGAGAGAAAGAGAGAGGCGAGGCCAGACAAGGCAGAGTAAGGCAACCCAACGGAAGGGGACACCCTTAGAGTGCTCGGATATGTTGATCGGAACCTAGAGTCCAAGAGGAAGAATGGGGGTGAAATTACCTTGCCTTACTTTAGGTGCTCTGTATCCGTGCTGGAGTCGGAATGGGCTGGTTTCGGCATTTTCTAAGGCGGGTAGAGCCCACATTCAGTCTGTTGCAGTGCAGGTCAATGTTTATCCCCGAGCCTAGAGCCTCAGCCAGAGCCAGACAGAGTGGGCAGTTTTTTTTCTTTGGTGGTGGTGGTGAGTGTGTGAGTGGTGGTCCTGACTTACACGCTCGGCGCTAGGCAACCCTTAGATTTCAAGGTTCAAGGTTCAAGGATCCCTTGGCTTGGACGTCTCCGCTCTTGGTGACACAAGCGTTTGTGGTGAGGGGAACTCTGCATGTGCCGTACCGAAGAGAGGGTGGGTGATCTCAGCTGAGGTTTTTACTGGTTGGTGAGTGGAAGTGAAGACATATACTTTTTACAGTACGATTTTGATATCGATATCTCTGTTTAATTAGATCAATTTAGGCTTATTTTCTGTCTCTGACTTGGTATTTTCCTTCCTTTGACTTTTGTGATTCTTGTGAATTTGATTTTCAACCGAACGTGACTTTTGGCTTGCTTTCGAATTGCGGCTTAGACTAATTAAACTCAGGACCCTTGCGTCACAAGCTAAGGCAACTCCCATGCTGATGCTTGGGTAGGTTCACGCATGCTACGTCATCGTGCAATGACGATGCGTGTCTTAAGGTGACTAGCTCGGTCTGCGAGATGGAGAGAAAAGAAACGAACAGAGACACGGAACGAGCCAAAAAGTATGTAGCGAGGCAGTGTGACGAGAATGTCTAATCCAACCAATGCCCTTGAAAAGGCTGATCCATACCATCCGACCAGCCAGTCACGTCCTTGGAATCAACTGGGCTGGACCGGTCCCTCGTCACTTTTCTTGTTCACTCCACGTTCACAGGCCACTAAAGAAAAGTAAAGCAGGGGACAGAGAGCGAGAGGAGAACAACATTCGTCCACTCACAACCCCAGTTCATCATTGGATCTCCAGATGAGGCTAACAAACGAGACAACCCCCAAAGTCGGCTGTTCTGTCCTGTTCCCACAGAGTCTTGTAGGATCTCGGCTTTTTTACAGCTGATTGTTCCCATCTCATCCGCTCGCATATGTAAGACGTATAACATTGTATGGTTGACTCACGGGGAACGATCCATTGCATCCGAAAGAAACGTACAAAATCGGTGATGATGAACTCAGAACTGCGCCTCGTACTTGGTCATTCGTAGCTGACAAGATCATCAAAAGATCAAAAGCTGATCACACCCTTTGCAGCAGTTGAATTTGCGGGGTAGGAAACTATTGTCACCATTCATCTGCCGATCTGACAGGCAGAGAGAGTCAGAGTCAGAGTCCTACGACCCTAAACCCCGGATTTTCGCCTCTCCATGCCCAAAGACTCTCGACCTCACAAAAGACCTCCTTGGCCTCTTCTTTGTTAGCGGCAAACGGGATGACGCATTCCCTGTCGGTAATGTGCTGCACCTAGAGTCGCCCAGCACGAATCGGGTCGACGGTTGTATCTTCAGTTGCATTGGTAGGGTCCCATAGGTCCTAGGCCCTAGCCTCTACAGGCTGTAGGTCTCCCCCGCGCGCGCAAGGGCATGCGCCACCGGGGATCAGAAGCCCACACATCCCCAGAGGCTATTATGAAACAGTATGGGGTAAAGCTTTGCGAGATTCGATATCTCTCGCCTGTCACCGTCGAGCATTTGACAGAGTTAGTAGCCCGCCCGCCAACCTGACTGATGCGGTTGCGGCTACGGTTGGGGCTGCGCTTTGGGTCTCAACGGGCCATGGGAAGCTCAGTAAAGTTAGGAAAGCGGCTAAAGAGGCATTTCCACTGCTTTATGTAAAAGTTTATTTCGTGGTGGTTTCATCTTTCTTGTTGTTGGTTCCGTCTTACACGTGGAGGCTGATTGTCATGTCAATGGTTGATTTCATCTCCGAGTGTCCGGCGAGGCTATTGCTAGAATATCCAACGATCTTGGATAGAATACCCCAAGGACTTCATAATCATCAATAATCAGTATCACCCATAGCAGGTAAAGCAAATTAATTCAATTTGGTATTTAGCAATTGTTCATTCCGTTTGCTTAACGACCATGTTGTTAACGCCAGAACACAAAGTGTACGGTTAGTAATGGCCTGTCTTACCATCCCAACCCTAGTACCTGAACTCCAATGCCAAAGTTCATCCATCCTCGAGCAAAATCTTAACCCATCATCTCCATAACGAAACGTTCTATCCCGCTGCTAAAAGTTCGTCCCAATGATATCCCATTCTCTCGCTCTCTATCCCTCGCATCCAGTGTTTAATCGAATCTGAAGATCTGGCCACTGTTGCCAGACATTCGAGAGCGTTCGTAGTAGTAGGTAGGCGGCGGATGATTGACAGCTTGCAGCGGAACAATCTCCTGGGGTTGACCTTGATAGTGCCGGGGCATACTTTCCATAGGCCTCAGCTGAGAAGATTGAACTCTCCCAAGAAGATCAGAGAGCCGTCGATTGTGTTCCATCAGAGTTCGGATTTGTTCGTCCTGCTTTTCGTTGTTCTCCTTCATGGCTTCGACCGCCTTAAGCATTGGCTCTGAGATTCTCTCCAGAGAGATGTCGTTGTCGGTCTGCGTCGCTGCGTCTCGGAGGACAATTCTTTGCTGCGAGGCTTGAAGTTCCGCGAGTCGGTGGACTTTGGCAGCGAGACTTGCCTGGTCTACCTGAGCACTTGCACGCTTGCTCGCAGGTTGGCCTGGGTGGCCGGAAGCAGTTCGTTTCATAGCACGAACAGGACCACCAGAGTTGCTTTCAATCGATGGTAGGATACTGTCGTTTCTGTGAGAAGGATCGGCTTGTCCTCGCTCTGGCCCCTGGCCCCTGGTCCCAGGCTCAGTTTTGATACGGGGCGTCTCTGGCGCAGCTGGAGTAGGTGTTGATACGAAAGGTCGATCTTTCCTGAGCTCTTGCTCTAACCATTGCTCGAGGCCGCGATTTCTGACTTCGTGGGCGAACTTGAAATTGTTGTGTCCCAGGGTTTCATGAACCGCAAGTGTGGCAAGCAAGATCTCGGGATCAGGCCTAGCATCAAGCCCAGAGACGCGACACCAGGCTGTAAAGTTCTTGCAGAACTGAGTGTCGCCCCAGGTACGACGAACATTGCACTTCTTGATCAACTCTACGACACGCTGATACATAGAGGGATGCTTCTTGGCGTCAGGGTGAATACAAGCGATTGCTTCGTTGTGTCTTTTCTCAATAGCTTCGATGTCGTCCTTGGAGATGAAGGTCTTGGTAGACTTTGGCTTTATGGCTGGAGTAGTGTCGACTTTACCAGTCCCGTTGTCCGCTGACTCTGTTTCGGACGACATGTTTGTGGTGATGTTTGTAGGAGGTACTTGACTGATGAGTGTCAGTATTGGATGAGGCAATGGATGATTGATGCGACTGATGATCTGGCCTATGAGATGATGAAGACGTAAGAAGCAAAGAGAGAATAAAAGAAAGGGTCGAATGGAGGAATTTATACCTTGAAGTCAAGAAGGCGTGAGTGATTCAGTGAGACCTGATGATGGACCGAGAATTGTAAAGAGTACGAAGCGTTTGACGAGTGAAGGAAAAATGGTGGAAAAGTTGAAGAAGAGATAAAAGGAAATCGTCCAAGTCTGCAAGAAAAGGAGATGAAGAAGAGGTTAATGCTTGGTAGAGAGAGAGATGAAGCTGAAGGTGAGGGTATTATGTGACCGAGTTACAGAGTTGTGATGTTTTGCACTCAAAAAAGGAAAAGGCTAGAGGTTGCTTATGATGGAATATCCTTTGATGCCTCGAATTCGGTCGCACTTTGCCCTCAATTGAGATTCTTTGATGTGCTCGAGTGGGCTTCTTGTGCCCCAGTTGCGGCTCTGTTGGTGTTGCTAGGCGTCACTGAATCGACGGGCCCCTCCAAACGGCATCAGAGCCACAATCGCTCGGCCGGGCCGCCACCACCTGCTCAAAGTTTTTATGAATTTACCTAAGACTCATCCTAAAGATCATAAACTATGCACCGTGATTTACTGATTTTAGGATGCCTCGATCCACATGAGGACCCTTTAAACCGGCAGAATTGGGCATGGATCGTGCCAAGAGCTGCATGACCTGATATATCAGAAACATACCATGTCAGCTTCCTACATCGCCAATCATGCTTTGCACCCCATCATGTTATATAAATTCTGGCTACCTACCTAGTATTCATATAGTGCCACAAGTGGTGCAAGGATATTGTAGATCGTGGGGTTGGGCATTGAGTCCTGGGGTATAAAAGGGAGTGCCACTCTTGGCTGCACGTAGGAAAATATCAAGATATCTTCCGCATCTGCATAAAATATCTTCCTCTGGCCCTTCTCAGACAAAAGTCTGAAGGTATATGTCACTAAAACCAGCATTTTCGTTCGAGTTCCCTCTTTGTGGCAGACATTAGTTGCCCTACTCGGCAAGGATAGCACTGCTGAAGCACTTGCACTGCCAGGCAAAATCATTACCATGGTTCGGGCAATAAAGCTTATGCCATCTGCAGGGCGGCGGGTGCCTGGAGACAAGTCCAGAGAAATTTACCCCTCTCCACTTCAAAATAACTTCCAAAACACAGCACATGGTTTCTCTGTGGGCACATCAAAAGAGTTCGTAAGCTTTACCTTTCACGATGTAAAACCCTGTCAAACTCTACTAAAATCGATCTTCTTCGTCTATAAAGGTCACAGTTCCTGAATCCCCCGTCACATCCTTTCCTCATTCTTCGTCCATCTTTTCTTCCGCCTCAGCTGCTCACTCCACACGCAATAACAAACATACACAAGAACAAACCAAACCCTATCACTTTCACATTTCTTTACTCGACAGAGTGTTTTGTTCCTATCCTACAATACTATCTCAGACATTGTATCTTCTTACTTTCAAGATGGTTCGTATCTTGCACATGAGCCACCACGACCCCTTAACCCGGGAGATGTTTCAAACAAATGACGGGCTTCGGTTTGATCTCGAATACCCAGAGCAGGCTGTTATTATCCCAACTCGATACAACAGCCGCATCGCCTTGGAGAGGGATGTCCAAAAAGTGATTGAAAAAATCAAAGAAGCCCGTGAGCGCTTTAGTGAGATGGGAAGGAACAAAACTCTGTCCAACAGACAAGTACGAACCACTCTCGAGATCGCCAAGCAGATCGTGGAAGCGATGAATACTATCATTAAGCGATACTACAAGGAGAGACAAGAAGGCCTTAACGTCAAGAAGCAGCGCGAGTACGCCGCGATTAAGGAGACTGGCATGGCTAAAGCTCTCAAGCAGGCTGAGATCGCCTTTAAGTACCACTTGGACCTCCAAGAGAAGTGTTTCAATTACCAGATGGCCAAATTGGCGCGTCAGATGCTAGATGCTCTCGACAAATTGAGGCGATACAGCTTTGAAGCGTTGTCCATCTCGAATGGAAACGAGCCTCTTTGGGGAACAACACTTTTCTAAGGACTCCATTCACTTCAAGATATCGACACAGACGCACGACAATTCATCTATGGCCCCGGAGCCCACTAGAAATTAGTCCGCTAAACGATATCTAGCTTGAAGTAAGTTTCATCCTGCCTGTTGCTTCTTCTTCATACTTATTCCATCCAGGGACCCCAGTCGCGGAGATCTGTTGAGAATGAACATTTTGGGAGCATATCGAACAGGGAGTAGGACGATGGACTTCATAATGTATACCATAGGCGTCTGATGAAAGACCCATGGACTTTAATGACATGAAGGGATCAGCATGGGATTGCGCATTAATGGTTATTTTGGAGTTGCTATGTGTTTATTTGTGGTTTTATCTCAGGGGAACAACTTTACCAGTAGTCTTTTGCTACGGCACTGGTACCACTACGCATTACGGATCACGATTTACGGAATATTCATCAGGACATGAGAATTTCAATGAAGGGCATCGATGTCAATACACTGAACATTGCATTTACACTTGAGGTGTCTTCATATTTGTGACTGTTCTGCTTCTACTTGACCATGATGACTGACTGCGCTGCGCTTCTGTTCGCTGGTAAGTGCATACTGACAACAAAGACACTTTGATGTAGTGTGCCAGCCTCCGTGTCAGAGATACCCTCGTTGTACCAACTGATGTGACTCATAATGCTACGGTGAATCACTCAGGAACTGTAATCGTGGTTCTCACCAAAGCTTAATGAAAAGACCGAAGACTTGGCCAGTGATAGTACAAGATGTCGGCTGTAAGCTTTCCGCAATATGCAAAGTATGCGGGCTCTTGTTTTTAAAGTGTCTTCAGCGTGAAGATTAAAAGGTCTCATTTATTGAACCTTCCTCATCCCTTATAGCCAATGGTTTCCACTGCGGTCGGTCGTGGCGAGTTTGTCATGTAGGCCCCTTTCGTGGTGTAAGTGCGAAGTATATCGCTGTCACGGTGTTTCCAAGAAAGACAAGGTTTTGTAACGGTAACATAAGCTTCTGTTGTTGAATGCCAGATTGGGAGACTCGCATCGTGGTGATTCGTTGTTGTGGCAGCCTCGTGCAACAGTTAGTAAAGTTTAACTTGACTGGGGCGATTAGGGTTTCGAGCTTTTCTTGACGTCCTGTGATTCGACCAGTCTTGAGGCTATTATCAGGAGTAGATCTTGGAACCTAAAAGCATGTAGTTGACATGGATCTGGGTGGCAATCGTGGAGCAAGGTCGGTTTGGGGTGTCTGTGACCCCGAATTTGTCTTTGGGCCCTGTTGTATGGATAGTCAGCGCTCTGTAGCTTTCCAGGGTGTCTTCGCAGGGCCTTGCTTGGTGAACCTGGTCATAACCACACCGCACATGATGGACACGATCGAGTTGAGATGCTGGTATATCTGCGGACGTTCGAGGTGTGCCAAAGATCTAACCAGGAGGTTAGAGATTCAAAGAACTGAAGCGGCCTTTCGATGGGGCAGCGATCGAGCACACGTATACTTTCAGAGAGTCACGGAGCAGACTAATGGCTGTATGGAGCGCTGGTCTCCTGTCCTGTAAGTCCCAAGATGACCGCCCAAGCTGGGCGCTTCAGGGGCTCTCGTTAAACCGTATATTTAGCTTCCAACGCGGCGGCGGTCGAGCGGTCCTGTCTTATTTGGCGGAAATCAGATCGATTGGAAGTTGGATTGTGTACCGAGCTTGCCTGCAGATCTTGTCGGTCTGTCCGCCGTAGTTTGGTGATTCAGGGGTTATGGTGCCTACTTACAGCAACTTTGGAGGAGGCGGCCGAGCACCTGGGCAGCAAATGGGGAATCTTGAGTCGAATAGATTGTATACGACGTCTCAAGTTTGTCTCGAGGCTTTGTAGGCCCGCTTGCCGCGGGTTGTAAAATTCAGGGGTTCGTAGGCAGCGCTTACGGGACAATGAGTATCGAGGAACAAGTAGCAAGCTCAACGTCAATGGTAAACAGCTCAACTCTTCGAGATGATATAGGCCTCTCTGCCCAAGACAGGATATGGTTTCGGGAGCCTGGGGCGAAAGTGCGGTCGAAGGGCGGCCTCGTAGTCGGGCTTGAGCGCTGGCGGCGGAAAGGGAGGTTAATACGTCTGGACGCTTCCTGTAGTCTGTCCCGTAGTTAGCTTGACTGGCGGTAAGCTTTAATGGCATCTAGAGGTCGTAGCTGTCAAGGTATAGGCCAGCCTTGAAGTCGATTTGTAAGTACTCGGAGTTCTGGGATCTTGGTGATCAGCGTTTTGGTAGGACTACAGCTAGAAGATCGTTGAGGACGCTACTACAAGGGCAGTCACAACGCATGATTCTTTGCATTAAGTCTGTCTCATGGATGGAGTTGAAGAGCCAGTAGAATAGTTCCGCCAGCTCTTTGGTATTACAACTACAGCCAACTCGACTTGGCGGATAGACTCAGGGGTCAATGTATCTTACCACGAAGAGCACGATTGGGGTCTGGCAACGCAAGTCACTTGGAGAGCTTTGTTTGAGTGAAGCAATGTTAGCTGGGAGGCTGTAATTCGAGGAGAGCTGGCAGCATCGTCTGGAGGTTGGCTGGAGGGTTGGATCCTTCGCGAACTTCGATCGTATGAATGCGGGACCGCAGGGAACTTCTTCGAATGGCGTGAAATGCTTGATGACACTGAATACTGAACCGTAGGCTGATCAAAGATGTTGACAGACTTGATGCTTCGTGATGTTCGTGTGTGAGGGAGACGATGATGAAAAAGGAGCGTCGAGGAAAACAAGGGGGGGGGGGGGTTTATAGTCGCGGAAAAGGCTGAAGAGGAGGAAGGAGCACGCCTCGATGCTCCAACTTCGCTGATGGAGAGCAAGCAAGAAGCTGTGACGATTCGTTTGGAGCGCTGCTACCTTGATCAGCATGACTGTGTGGGATATTCAGGGGTCAGGCGCCTTGCGTCATGTGCGGCAGTCAGCCCAGGACGCAAGAGAAGGTACGGATGGTCTTCGTTTCGTTCTTGTGCTCTTGTAGCCAGGCCTGGGGCTGTCGAAGTACTGGGTTTCGGGCAGGTCCTGGGCGGGAGTGGTCGAACGGTTACATATTTCCAAGCCTCACAATAGACAGCGGTGCTTGCACTTGGTTCTTGCCACCACTGCAGTGGAAAGCACTATGTGGTTGCCAAGATAAGCGTCAACTGGTACTGCGAGACTTACTGTGGCGTACTCTGCTGTTGCTGCAGTGGTTGCGTGGGGACAACCCGAAAGAGCACTACGCTCAGTTATTGACGCTCAGTCGTACTGGACCTTTGAAATTTACTGGACTGCGTATTTTGGTGCTGGAATCTTACAGGTTCAGAGGGGCAAGAATTTTGGAAGGCTGGTTGCTTTGGTATTGGCGAGTGTCCATGCTGCATCATTGCGTGGGAAAATAATTCTGGCCCATTGCACTGGCACTGCTCAATATTTTTGGACTGAACAGCACAACAAAGCAGTTGCTTATGGAATTGCAATGTAACGAACAACCACTTTCGCTATTGGTGAACATTGTAGACATTCTTTGGGGAATTTCGAACAGCCCTCCCTCAAAGACGTGTTCGTCTCGGCTTGTTCTCTTCGCAACCGGAAGATGGAGGCGGTACCCAAGTTTGCAAGTCAACGATGGCCTTCTTTCCTTCTTCTCTGATAATAGCATAACATCATGTCCCAGAGCTATCTAACCTCATGGCAAACCTTCCCCCGTCGTATGATTCCAGAGACATAAGATATCTCGAAAGGCGCACACAACGAACCGAACGAGTCAAGAATACTTTGAGCCCCGAGCACCCAGACAGTGGTCGTTGATGCCATCAAGATCACATTACAATACCGAAGAAATCGACCGAAAATTGCCAAGCACCGAGCTGCGCATTACGAATAGGGGTATGTCGAAAAGCGCGAGTTTTCGCTCCCACGTTACATTCGACCGAACTCCATCCTCTCTCGACATGACACCTACTTACATGTGAAAACGAACCACGATTCTTGTTGGTACAGAGGAAAGAATTTCAGCAGTCGTGATCGGGCAACTCAATACCCCTTTACTGCGAGAGCCAGCGTAACCTGTTTTCGTTGCAAGTTCGCCGAACCGAATGAGTCAACGAGCAAAACTCAACGAAACTTTTACGTGAGGTTATCCGGGAATAAATAGTCTTTGTCACTGGTTGATTGCAGTTGGTCGTCAAGTGGCGGTTATTTCCGAGCAGTGGGAATGATCCATTGAAAAAGGTAACTTCCGCCCTGTCAGGCCATGAACAGATCTTGTCTTATCTGTATTTCTAGATTAGCAGGTAGTATTCTAGATCTGCTGAGACTACCGACATGCGGCAGTGTCAAGAGAAGGTGTCTGACGAGTTGGGGAGACGGCCAAAAAGTTGCAAAACAACTGCCATATCCGGTCTAGTCGCAATCCCCGCCCGGGTCCGGCCATAGGTGAGACGCGAGGACCGTTGAGCAAGAGGTAGAAACTTAGACTGTACAATAAGAGATTCTTTCCAAATATTGCCTACTACAGAACGCAATTGCCTGCAATCATCATTCGATTTAACCCTGATCTGTAATTGTGGCTCTTGCTTCTACGCCGCACTCCCAGAAGCGGAAGTCTGCCTCACTCTTATACGTTGATCCGCTGAACCCTTGTCCTGGCCTTTCATTCCTACCTGCGCTGTTGACTGACTGACTGACTGACTTTCTTTTCCCCTACGTATATACGCGGAGTACCCCATGGCTCCAGGAAGTAAAAAGAAGGGGAAAAAACTACCTTCTGGACCTGTTGCCGACAAGCCTTGTCATAACTGTCGACGTCGAAGACTTCGCTGTGATCGTCAACTCCCCCACTGCGCAAAGTGCGACGCAAAAGGCGTTGAGTGCCTGGGCTATTCTCAGATCTTTCAGTGGACGGGTGCTGTTGCTTCAAGGGGAAGACTCGCTGGTCAGCAGTCCAGCGCTGCCTTGTACTCCCCAGCACGTCCTTCTACTGCCCGCTCGAGAGCATCGTTATCTTCTGTCTCTTCCCTCTCATCAAATTCACCTGCATCTACTTCATCCGCCTCATCCGTCGCTTCGCCATCCGTTCCTTCATCTTCACCCGCCTTTATTGCCCCAAGCCTTTCTCAAGTCGAGGAGGTCACAGAAACGTCAGAAGCCGAGTCTGGATCGGAAATAGACCTGTTCAATGACATCGATAACAACGTCGACGATGAAAACGACGATGAAGATGATGCTGCGACCCCCCTAGCGAGTGGTGACACACAACTCGTCTGTACCACCATCCACAACCAGAACCATCCCCTGGCATCGGAAACGTCGACGCCGTGGGTGCTCGTCGATCCCTTGTACCAAGACATTACGAGCAACCACAGACAGTATCTCGCTTATTGTAAGTTTCCCAGGAATTCATTGGTTAGAGAAACAAGAGAGACATGGCTGACAGGCATGACCAGTTGATGCGCGGCTCAGTCGAGATTTTGTAGCCTACGACGTGCCCGACAACCCCTTTCGAAATCTACTCAAATTCACTCAGGCCCACCCTCTGCTACGTCAGGTCATCATCGCCGCCTCGGCAACGCACATGTACAACCGCTCTCGCCCGTGGCTGTCCTCGGACTCGCTAGAAAGAGGTCTTGGCCCGAGGAATCTGCTCATGGATGCTCTCGAGGCTAAGCATCAGGTATTGCGCATGTTGCCGTCTGCCCTGCAGAGTATTGAGTCTATTGGGGGTGACATTGTCCTGGCCGCAATTCTCTTCCTGATCAATGTAGAACTGATAGAGTCTGGTAAACACAACTGGAAGGCTCACTTTGATGGCGCTGGGAAGATCATGAAGTTGCTTGGGCCTGTTTCTGATGTGGACGAGAGCTTGAGGGACTACATTGTATCCGACTGCTTCATGTGCGTGATCTTTATACCTGCCGCCACCTCCTATTGCTAACATTTGCCAGATATTACATTCTGGAGTCAACGTTTCGACCAACAGATTCGGGCTCCCACTCATATTTTGAATCATGTCAAGCGCTACAGATACTGGGCAAAACCACGAATAGCTACTACTGTTGCCCACCACAACTCCTCGAAATTATGCTAATAGCAGCTCGACTTTCCAACACAAAACCGGACGATGTGGTCTCGGCTGACATGGTCACTGCCGCTGGAGCAGCATTACTAGACCGTGCTAGGAATTTCGACGTTATACCATGGGCGCAAGATATCGACCTCAACACCATCCCTCCTACCGAGCAAGACCCCGTGTTAAGTCGATTTAGAGTCGCAACATCCCATCGTCTCGCCATCTGTCTCTACATTCTTCATGCGATACCCGCCGTGGGAGCTTGGGTCGGTGAAGATCTCGCAGACACGATATTTTCCGAACTACATCAAGTGCTGAGCATTATTCCCGACGACGATACGAACTTCAAGGCTACGACATGGGTTACGTTTGTGTTTGGTGCGTGTGCCAGGACACCGGAGATGAAGGACTGGGTTACTGTTCAGATCAAGAAGCTTATGCTTGAGTCACCTTGGGGATTCTTATATGCAGCGAGAGATGCTCTGCAGATGTTATGGAGCGTTCAGGCTGAAGGGATGCCAATGACGAGCTGGGTTCAGACGTTGAGGGATCTACATATGGACTTTTTGATTGTTTGAAGACAGGGTATTCGTCAACAGCACCGTTAGGGAAGAACTCGAAGGCCTGATTAGTAAGGGGTTGGAAAGCCACTGGAAACCCCTTTTTCTCCGGTGGTTGACACATATTTGACGTTTCCCATGATCCGGGTCTGGCGTTGATTGGGGTTTTTCAACTGGGTATACCAAGGTGGACGCCAACAGGGGCGGATTAGGATTCAGGAGTATATTTGGTATGGGACTCAGCAGACTGAGCACTGGACGATTATCTACGGCGCTATGATCTATGATTTACACTCTTCCATTGTACTGGCGTACGCTTCCAGAAGAGACATGATTCCTTTGCAACTGTTTTCACTGACAAGTGATGTTTACGTCTACCGGCCCCTTACTCAGCTCCACTAACAGCAGCTTTCCAGCCGATAAGCCTCCAATGCATTTTCTCAGCCCCAACAAGGACTGTTAGACTCCCACCACTGCAAGATGCCTATTTTCGGAACTCTGGGGCTTAGTAACCACGGTCAGCTCGAGGTTGTACACTCCCCTCGACCGAGTATGTCACACAGTTCCCACTTTGACTGCCCCTGACTGACGGCTTTCGGAGAACATGTGCCCCGGAGAGATGGGCTGAAACAACTGTGCCAGGTGGTTCTTTGCTGGGGGCACGCCTTGTAGTTTCGGACGGTCACATTGTTGCGCAGACGGGCAGACTTCGGATGGCTTCCGGTTCCCGCTGGTGATGGCACGAGGGGTTAATATGAAGTTTTAAGGTTATTGGATTTGTTGGGATGACATGTTTGTGCCGGAGACTGGGCATTGAACGAAAAGAGTGACGGGACGGAGGATTTTTGCAACCGCGCTTCATCTAAAAGCCGAGAAGAGTCTTGTCTACCCGGTCTTATAGTTGTAGGATGGTGAGGCTTGGTCAAGCAGAATGTGTTTCTAGATAGTTCGAGGCCAAAAGTCCGAGGCAAACATCTATGAATTCTCTCCAATGGCCAGAAGCTCAAGCAGTGTGCATCTGGCAGAGGCATCATAGGTAAAGGATAAAGTGGTGAGTAATAATATATCAAGTTTGACACTGGCTCTACCAGGTCCTATATCTAGATAGTTGAAAGCTATGGATTTGTTTATGAAAGTCTCATTCCCGTAAAAGTATCGCCACAGAATAAAACATTTACTCTCCATTGATATCTCGCATCATTCACGCCAGTGCGTTGACCCGTTACTTGGTTCCCATCCCATATTATAGCGCCATCATAGCAATAGCACCTCTAACCTTCCCCTGTTAGCTGCCAGATATTTGCCCAAAATTCATCAAATACATAAAGTCAAACACCAACACGCACACCACCTTTACCTCTTGGCTGCCACTCGGCAGCCGTTCTTCGAACACAACGCTAAAGCATACAACTCCATCCACTCCTCGTCATCCCTCGACTCGATCTCACTACAAGCCTGCGCCATCCTCGCCACAACGTAATGCGTTTCCAGAAGAGCGTACTGTTCTATAATCGCACATTAGCGTCCATCATCCCACGTTCTCCCAGACTTACGACCAATACACGCTCGAGCACCGCCGTTGAAGGGCAAATATCCCCAGCCAGGTCTCAGATCCTTCCACCTCTCAGGGGCAAACTCTTCGGCATTGGGCCCGAAAACATCCTCGTTACGATGCATGGCGTATACGTTGTAGAACATGGCTGTTCCCTTGGGAACGAAGAGTGGCGACTCTCCGTCGATGCCGCCGCCCCGGGGGATGGTGGTGTCTCGCACTGCGACGCGAGCGTTGGTGGGGATGACAGGATGCAGCCTCAACGCTATTTGGTTGTGAGGAACGGCTTAGGGCTGAGATACGCAAGGTGAGCTTACATTCGTTGACACACCATTTTAGGTAGGTCATGTCTTTTAGCTGACTTGCAGTAGGGGGCTCTTGGCCAGCAACACTTAGAACCTCGCCCCGGAGCTTTGCATAGATCTCAGGCTTCTTGGCCAGGAAGAAGAACAGATTACCGAGAAGACCCGATGTAGTGTCCCTGCTTGCAAGGAGGATGTGTAGGATATGATGACTGAGCGCCGTTTTGTCATTCGCTACATCCATCATCTCTGTCAGGAAACTGCTGCCCGAGCCATCTTCAGATTTAGTCAGGGACTCTTGGATGAAAGCATCGAGATACTCGTACACCCTCTTTCTCGCCTTCTTAGCTGCAAAGTTGAATTTGAGGGAATGGAGTGGGCCAAGTTGCATTTGTTGGATGATCTCTTCGGAGCAAACCATATAATCATCGACAAACTGCTGCTCCCGAGTGTGATCTGCATTTTGGAGGAGCATCTTGGTTGAGTGTCCCATGAGGAATTCCGTGGAGACATCCATGGTAAGAGCCAGGAAAAGAGGCTGGAGATCAACTTCTGAGCCATCGGTAGGGACATGCTGGAGGAAGGATTGGAAGTTTCGTTCGAGAGTGTCTAGAAAGGGAGCGGGATTGTCTTTCCTGAAACTTTGTCTCAGTACAGCCCGGGCTTGCTTCCAAGGATGTCCTGATAGAACGAAGATTCCCTGGCCAAAGATATGACCAATGACTGAAGTTCGAAACTCGGGAAGATCAAAGTCATGATATGCAGTGGCAAGGATATGTTTGATGTTCTGAGGGTCGCAAGTGTAGACGCATTGCCAAGACCACCTCTCCTCGATGTAAGTAGTACCCATCTCCTTGAAGGCTTGCCATGTACTGTCCAGATATCGTTCAGGGGACTTTTCAAAGAAGATCTTGTAGAGGAAATCGAAACCAACAATGGGATCTTTTACGGCCACTTTGCTTGTAGCTTCTTTACAGCCCTGAGCTTTTGCAAGTCTCCATCTTCGAAGATATGTCTCAAGTACACGAAGAGGGACAGGGAGAAAGAGAAGAACGATAGTGGCAAGCAGATGCTGCTCCAGAAACTTGAGGAGTAATAGACTGAACATGATGAAAGAGGCTGAAGTTGACAGTCGGATTGATAGAAGTGGAAAGAGGCTTGGGCAGCCACGTCCAAAGGGGGAACCGAGAGGTAAAAGTACAGCAAAGGAACCAAGTAAAAGCCCTCAAATTATCCCCGAACTTTTGGATCAATGTCCCAGATCTAGAGCACAAGAAGTAAGGGGACATACAATGCGTACGCCCCCTTTTATTGAGGTCGACCATGCGGATCGCTTCCCGGGCATTGCCTTGTCATGTATTGTGTTGTATTGTATCGTGCTGTTTTGGTTGGGCTGCTCATCGTCGTGCAGTCCTAGGCGCCACGATATAATCCCATTATTCCAAAAACAGAGCTCGTAGCAACCCCGGAGCCTGTTCATTACGACGATATACACTCTATGAGCATTTATTGGAGCTGTTGGCTCTCCAATCAAGCCGTCTATTTAGGGCAAGACTTAGAATAGGATCCCTAGTATACGCTGCCCCCACAACAGACAGACGTGTGCTGTCTGCTGTCGCTGTCACTAACAACACTACCTGCAGTGCGACGGAGAATCAAGAAGCCCGAATCATGGGTCTTTATTCATTGATCATTATCCTCCAAGTAACATCAGGACCTGGCGTGGATCGAAGGGGCGATAGGACACTCAGGCTTGTATCAGGAGAGCAACCCACACACCGGCTGTGCTAATAATTCCTTGGTCGGTTGATATCATCAGCTGAGGATATTGCATTCTCTGTCCTAAGAGGTCAGCGCCACTGGTAACACGAGTGATGACGGGTTCTATCTTGGTCAGGGGTATGAGAGGAACCCGGGAACTGACAGCGATGCATGAGCATGAGCATGAGCTTGAGCACGAAGCATGAACACACTTAGGCAAGGCAAGATTCAGATGCGGCACAGACCGAGACAGCGTAATGTATCTCACCATGAGACATTGACAATTTACAGGAGCTTTGCAGAAGTTGTGCCATGTCAAGATACACTCCAAGATTTAGGCCCGAATACCTCGGCACAGTCAATACTATCCATGCTGATATGCAGATTGAGGCTTTTGGGACCTAAAGACCTGCCTAATTCTATGTCTACCTTGTTGAAGAGATGACCGACCACAACTCCAGAGACACGACTGCACTCAAGGTTACAGAATAGTAATATCCTCTGTCTTGATATGTCTTGCCCATCAATGTCTTAGTATGAGGACTGGATCTTGTCTTGTCTGCCGCTAGTAACCCGCAATGTTTTAGTCTGGCTTGTGGAGAATGTCGTCGTGTTTGACTACTGCATGTCATTGTCATAAATATCTTTTTTAGGCGAGGCGAAGGCGGCTCGGGACGGGACACTCGGAGGTTGACCGTTTTCCTTCCAAGGGTCTCCCCTGAAGAGAGTGAGGCTTTAAAGGTCAGTTGTCAGTAATCAAGGTTCACAAGGGCATGGGTGCATACCTACTGTAGGTAGAGGTTAACATGGAGCAGTCGGGCGAGCCCCAGGATCTGGGACTGATAAGAGTCAGGATTCGTGATATGTCAATATCAGATTGAAACAATTGGAAACGTGAAGAATTGATGTTCCGGCTGACAACGAGGCAGAAGCCGACTCACGGCAGATTACGGCGATCATCCTGTTTCTCAAACGTCCGGATTAGTACTATTGTCTCAGATATAATGTCTGAGTTCGTACTTGTCCAAGCACGCACACGCCCACGCCCCGTGCTCAAAGATCCTGCAACCTGAAAGGGTCATGGACAAGACAACAGCAGCAGTCGTAACAGCAGAGCAGAGCAGAGGCAGAAGCAAGACCCCGGGAGAGCTGATGTCGTGCTTCCAGACGATAATACATGCGGTCCCGTCGTTGGCTCACAGGGCGAGTGGCTGTAGACCCGAGATAGTGATTGGACCGGGAGCGCCATCTGTGCTACTGTTATGAGCTCTTTCCGACGTGTACAGTGTCAGCCGGGTTCGGGCGGACCAAGCTGTCGGATCCTTCTATTTTCTGCTGTGGTTTGTTGTATTGTGTTGAGGTTGCATTGAACTCTTTTCAAATGATCTTACATGGTTAACGAG